TTATTTATTAAATGATTGCAATTATTGTAAGACAATTATTATGAGAACAAAGCTCCCTATTTTTATAGAGGGACATGCTATTAAATATAATAACACTTACTCGCATCAAGCCAATAAATTATTATAAGGTTTCCTATTTATAATTGATTTTGGATTAGGAACTAAATATTGCCCATCGAGGAATTTTAAATGTGCATCATATGTTTTAATTGCTCCACCATAATGCACTAAGATGGGTCCTCAAATGAGGTTGAAAATATATATCGGGTATTGATTTATTTCTACGATTAAATATCTAGAATTTTCAAATAAGAAAGTTATACATGACCAAATTTGCTAATTGTTAGGATCCCGACTTTTAGGGGGGGAAATAAGCAGTTACAAGAATAATTGATTAGAAAAGAATTAGCATTATTATATCTTGATCCTCATGTAAGGTCGTGTAAATTTAAAAATTTAAAAGATAATTCATTTGCAAAATATTATAAATTAGTTGAAAGATATATTCATTGATCCAAAAGGAGATAACTAAATCTCACTTACTAGCTGCAAATACTTCTATTAGTATTGAAGTCCAAAGGACAAACTATCTATATTAATGAATCTATGGCATGCCTGAAGCATGGTATATCAGTTCCAAATATAAAAAATAAAAATAAAATGAAAGAAAATTAGCAAATATTCAAGATGGTCAAGTTCTAGAAAATAAATTCTAGCAAAAATCATAGACATGAATAATAAGTTTCTCGAAGAAACTCAAGTATCTAAAATCAATGAAGATTATGAGATCTCTATAAATTATATCATATCAAGAAAAATATGGAACTGATATAAAAGAAATGTCAATAATATTTATGCAATATAATGCGTTGAAATTGTGAAAAATGATGAGGTATTGTCTGTTGGAGAACATAGATATAGAATTGATTGGCCAAATAAAATGACGTATATGGTATTTAATTTACTTGAAAAGTAAATTTTGAAAATTTAATAGGGGCAACAAGAGATATCAAGCTAGTAGAATACAAATATTTATTTATGTGAAGTTGAAATGAGTCATGAGATATAAAGCAAACTCATTGTACAAGTTTTTCACAAGGAACTGATGTTGATTATGAGGATAAAATATCCTCATGTGGTGGATATAATTATAATTTGATATTTGATTAGTCTGGCAATTTATGAAAATTTTAAATGCGTGTAAATGAATTAATGACCGCTTATTTATATACTAACTTGATATAGATATTTATATGAAAATTCCTGAAGGATTTTCATTACTTGAAGCATAAAGTTAAATTCTAGAGAAATTTATTCAATCAAATTATATAGAGCTCTATATAGATTATTGAATAATGATATCCATGAAATATTAAAAAAATGCTTGAAGCAAGCAAATCGACACCCCAAAAAATATATTCAAGATTTTTATATGAATTAAAGAAATCTCAATACATATGGTATAATCGCCGTAATGATGTTTATGGCTAAGAAAATATTATATTATTTTATAATTATATTCTTTTTATAATATTTTATTATCGAAAGCATACTTTTGATATTTACTTTATATACTATTATGACTAAAATGATCTCTTGATTAGTGAATATTTGTTGAAATGATATTTTAATAATATTGTTATATGTTCATGAATTTTTATAGAGATATTTGAATATGAATTTGTCATTATTTGGTTTATGAACATTATTGGAACTCTTAAAGAGCTTCCAAAGATTATAAATTCCTTTACTAATTATTTTTATAATTATATGGCTTTTTTTATAGCGGGTGATATTTTATTATCACGAGTAGCATACTTTGATAATTTAAACTTTATGACAGGGCTCATTATGATCTAAAAGTGATCGTCTTGATTAGTGAATATTTGTTGAAATGATATTTTAATAATATTGTTATAATTTGTATTCGAATTTTATAGAGATAATATTAAATATTAAATTGTTGTCATTATTGTGGGGTTTATGAACATTCATTGGAACTCTTTTAACAGAGCTTCCAACATGATTATAAAATTCCTAAAAAGGAAAGAGTTTCAGAATAAAGATATTGGAATTATAAAATTTGTCCTCGACTGGGTGAAGATCGATGCATTTTCATAAAATAAAATTTTTGTCAATAAATCCACATATGATTGCACTAATTTATTTTCGATAGGATGATTTTAGTGTGGATAACAAGGCGAGTTTACCTTGCATGAGGAAGATCGACCATTGTTCACTTCTGAGAAAATTATGAAGAACTCTTGGTCCTAAAGTACCGAACATCTTAGTGCAATAAAAGTGCTGATCGAGCATTTCATAAATAAAATTTTGTCAATAAATCCACATATATGACTAATTTATTCAAATGATTTTATGTGGATAACAGCGAGGTTACTTGATGAGAAGATGACCATTTTTCACTTTGAGAAAATTATGAAGAACTCTTGGTCCTAAAGTACCACATCTTAGTGCAATAAAAGTGCTAATATATCTTGTTACTCAAACTTGACTTGATTTTTGTAAATTTTAATTAGCAAGATTTAATTCTTCTTGAATATAAAGAAATTCAATGGAGTTAAACATATATTTTAACATCTCTATGACACGATATATATGAGTTATATTATAACTAACATGTCAAAATCAGTTTTGATTGGTTACGAAAATGCAGGTTACTTGTTTAATCCATATTATGTTAGATCATAAACAAGTCATCCATTCACATGTGGAGGTACAATTATTTCATGACATTCAAGAAATGAAATATTACTACTTCTTTTAGCCATGTAGAAATTTTAGCAACTTATGAAGAAAGATAGGATTGTGTTTGTTCGAAGTACGTGCAGTCTATTTATCCTTAGGGAAATTCCTTTAATATTTGGAGATAATATTTCGTACACTCATCTCTCTTAAAGAAATGATATATCAAGGAAAATAAGAAGAGCATATATTACAAACTTCTTTTGCTCATGATCTACAAAAGAATGATGACAGAAGTTCAACCACGCAAATGATAACATTGTTGATTTATTAGCACTTTCTACTGCAAGTTTTTTGCTACAAGCTTTCTACTACAAATTTTGAAGGATCGATGCTTTACAAAATTAGAATGCATAAACTCAAATATTTCAAGATCTATTTTTATGAGGAAAAGCAAATACGCACTGTACTCTTTTTCTCTTTAACCAAGATTTTTTCCATTGGATTTTGCTGGTAAAAGTCTTTAAAGAGGCAGTATTTCAACCCGTATTTAGAAAAAAAGAATAATGTACTCTTTTTCATTCAATAAGATTTTAATGAGACGTATTCTTTGAAGAATGGACATATAAGAGATAGTGTTATGAGATAAGTGGATATTATATATGGGCTAGAAGTCTGTATTCTTAATTATTGCGAACTCTATCTTCCTAATTTGTGTACGACTCTAGTAAGATTCTATTTCTTCTCTCTAGTTTTATATTATTTTATAATAAAAACTTCAATTTTGAGCCTGTATATATTTTTAGTTTTGCTAGGATGAGTTTGGTCAAGATTTATTATTTTCTTCTTTTGGTCTAATAAAAATTGAAATCATGTAACACTGAAAAAAATTTTACTAGTCTGCCCCGTGGATGTTATATGGATTAAATTTGAAAATATTTCACTAGTCTGCTACTTATTGAAAAATCCCAAAGCATGGCATAAAAATTAAATTAATCAAAATTTATTTTTCAATTACATATTTTATTTACATATTATATATACTTTAATGATAAAAAAATCCTACTTCATTTAAATTTTTGATTGATAATATAGTCTAAGTTATTGTTCATTTAATACAAACTAAATAAATAATTTTTTAATTATTTTAATTGTACATGTCTCAAATATTTATATTTTTAAATCTACAAACGTGCTACCCATGCCACTAGATGTGAATATAATTAATATTCAAAGGATTTTATAGTTTTAATTTTATTGTTTATTTTTTAAATTTATTCCACAATAAAATAGTATAGCCAACTAAAGTATAAAAGATAAATTGACTTATGTTAGGAGTCAAATTTATAATGATATTTTATTATCATTAAACCAAATTAATTCGTCAGTTTTAAAAAATTTGTGGTTATAACACAATAAAAATTAAGTGAAAAAATAAAGATAATATCTTAAAATATATTTCGATCTTTTGAGCTAATATTTTTAAAAAGGGATGAAATTGCTTTTTTTATTTATAATTTTATATTTAGTTGTAATTGAGGGTGTTATTGTTATAAAAAGTTAGAAATTTAAGTAAAATTGATAGAAATATTAAAATATAGTAAAATTGCAAAGTTTATAGAGTTTGAGTTCGATTTGTGATCGAATGAATAATTTCTCACTTATTATTTTCATTAATGTTAAGGGTATATGTACAAATACATAACATAAATCACTTAATTACTAATTATCCATTGACTACTAAGCTACCAACCAAGCTAACTAAAATGGTATAATAATATTGCTAACATCTCCTAAATTGAGCATATATATATATATATATATATATATTGCTACTCTTGGAAAGCATTGAGTTTAACCGAACCAAACGAAAAACTATAACATCATATGATACCAAACTACAAAAATTTAATTTCAGTTACTAAATCCAGAAACGCACTAAAAAAACAAAAACAAAAATTTAGCTGAATTACCAAAATTAGAAAACGAGTAATCGAACTGAATTATTTATTTATAAGGTACGAAGCTGGTCTTGACATATAGATTAAACCGTCAAACTAAATGGGTGGACATATAAATTGTTGAGGGCCGTTAATCTAAAGAGAGATATAGGATTTAAGAAAACCATTAATCTAGAGTTGAGTAAAATAAATAAAAAGATAGATATTTTAAATTCATTGGCCTAAAATAAACTTAATATGTTTATCTTGCTTAAACCAAATGTCTTGAACTTTATGAGTATTAGGTTTTTTTTCTTTTTTTCTTTTTTTTTTGAATGAACTGCAGTTTATATATTATTGGCATCAAAAATCAAAACATCTTGAATAAAAGCTAGAGGGACAGGACCCTACTCCAACAAACCAGACAAATAATTAGCTGCCCTCGCTAAGCTGTGAGGGCATTGATTTGCTGATTTCTTAGCAAACAAAAGTGATAATGAATTGAACTCATCCAATAGAGTTCTACAATCATGAACTAAAGCATCAAAATAAGAAATAATAGAAACTGAATTCTTAATAGCCTGTAAAGCTACGAGGCAATCACTTTCCACTTCAATATGGCTTGTACACCCTTGGTTTTTAAGCCAGCTCAATGCCTCCCTCAAGCCCATCAACTCAACCATAACTGCTGAAATAACACCCTCAAACACACAGCTTCCACCTCCCAACTAACCCCTCATCCTGTCACGCAATAGCTAACCAATCCTAGCTCTCCTGCTATCCTCACTCCATGCTGCATTAATATTTAGCTTCACATTACCTTCAGCAGGGGCAATCCACTTAGGATACCTATGAACACATGACAAACCCAAAGCAACATTATTTTGCTTGGCCACCTGCCATTCATGCACACAATTCATAGCCCTTCTTAAGATAACACTTGCACCTGTTGGTTTATTATTCCAAACCAGTTGGTTCCTGTTCCACCATAACTCCCAGGCTATAGTAAAGACTGAATTGAGGCCATTCCTAGGTACATTAGTTAGCACTGTAGATATCCATGCATGCACATTTTGGACCCCTGTCCACCACCCAACAGAGGATTGACACCATGTTTGTTGCGCCACCTGCCAATTCCAAATAAAATGCAAAGCATTTTCCTCCTCAACACCACACGATGGACATTTGGTTTCCACTACTATATGCCGTGATTTCAAGGCTACTAAAACTGGCAGGCAACCGACAACAGCTTCTAAATAAAATTTTTAATTTTGCTTGGCACATCACATTTCCAAACGCACTCCATAGATTCCCACCAATGGAGCTCTGGACCTGCCTTTCTTTATAGAGAATCTGATAGCCACTACCAACTGTATACGAACCTTTGCTACCCCATCACCACATCCATCCATCATTTTTGTCCATTGTACTCAACGGCATTTGTTTTATTAATGCTTTTTTTAAACTCGTAACAAGAGAAACCAAACCCTCCTCATCCTATGTCCGCCTCCCCCTTACCATCAAATCTGCCACATAAATTTCCTCCATACCCCATGTATTCTCAGATGTCACATATGGACTAACTATGTTTTGTAGCCATGGATAACCATAGACAGGAGTATGCCGACCATTTCCGATACGATGCACACACCCGTTCTGCAATAAATCAAGACTTTCATGAATGCTATGCCATATGAAACTTGAGTTAGAACCCATTTTCACTTGAAGTAAGGGAACAACAGCATAATATCGAGCACGATACAATCTGGAGACTAAAGCATCCAACTGAGATAGAAGACACCATCTTCCTTCAACCGACATAACTTTGTCCAAGAAAACCAGTGGATTCTTGAACCGCTTTCCCCATCACTTCTCCACCAAAATCTGTTCATGGATTTTTCTATAGTATCAACAACTTCCAATGGAAGCAAGAATACATTCATAAGATAATTCGAAATCGCCTGTGCGACGTACTTTAGTAATATTTCTTTTCCAGCCTGCGAAAGCAACTTTTCTCCCCCACCCACTGAGTTTCTTCACTACCTTGTCTATTACGAACGAAAAGACATCTTTCTTCTTTCTTCCTACTATTGACGGGAGGCCCAGATAATTCGAAGCTTGCACTCCACATTTGACTCCCAACAGACCACAAATCTCCTCCTGACAACTGGTGTCAGTATCTGCACTAAAATAAATTTCAGACTTATTAAAGTTTACCAATTGTCCCGAAGCGTTCTAATAGAGTAAGAGACAATGCTTAAAAACATAAGCCTCAGGGAGAATTGCTCTAAAAAAAAAAAAGTGTCATCAGCAAAAAACAAATGGGAAATCATAGGAGCCGACCTCACTACTTGACAACCATGGAGCTGTCCTGCAGACTGAAATTTTTCCAAAAGCGTAGAAAGAGCTTCGGTGCATATGATAAATAAATATGGGGAAATTGGATCTCCTTGTCGTAAAACCCCATCCTAGAATAACTGGACCATACTTACAGCCATCATGCAAAGTATTATATTTAACCGTAGTAACCAGCCGCATGATTTTATCCACCCAATCCACTGAGAAGCCAGGCTTAATCATTCATCGCCGAAGAAAACCCCATTCCACCGTGTCATAGGCTTTACTCATGTCCGTTTTAAGTGCAACCACCCCAACTTTACCCTGCATTTTCCTTTTCCAAAAGTGCCTAACCTCAAAAGCAAATCATGATATTATCAATTATAGACTAACTCGAAACAAAAACGCTCTGGCTATCAGATATAATATCAACAAGACACAACTTCATTCTGTTAGCCAAGGCTTTGCTAACAATCTTATCAACATCATTGCATAGTGAAATCGGTCTTATATCAGAAACAAATCGAGGATTACCTTTTTTTGGCAATAAAATAATATTTATTTGATTTTTACCTAGTAATTCACCATCCGAACTTAAGAATGCAAGACATGCTGTCATGATATCCACAATATGCCAAAAACACTGAAAAAACGCTGGGTTTAAGCCATCCAGCCCTGGAGCTTTATCTGGGTGCATACCTTTCATAGCTTCCCGAATCTCATGACCACTAAAAGGTTGTGCTAGAAGATCGTTATGAAACGGCTACACTTTCTCCTTAACACACTCCAGCACCGTCTCGTCATCACCTTTCTCCAAAGTAAATAATTGATTGTAAACTCGCACAATATGGTCCCCAAGTCCATTTTCCCAAGATAGCTAATTACCTAATGAATCCTGCAGTTGCATCACTGTACTTTTCTTACAATGTATAGAAGCCATCGTATGAAAGTACTTAGTATTTCTGTCCCCTTCTTGCAATCAATGTTGCTTAGCACGTTGTTGCCAATAAATTTGTTGTTGACGTAAAACCTCCATATATGCATCCTTAGCAGTTTGGTGTAATTGTACTGAGACCACATCACTTTTATTCTTGTGCTTCGTCATTTGCTCCCGACTCTCTTTAAGCTTCTTGCAAAAAAACAAAAGCCTCTAATCACCCCACTTCTTCAAAAAGTCTCCGCATTATTGAATCTGATTTCCTAATTCCAAGCCAGATCCAACCATCCAAGCCCCCCGAACCACTTCCTGAAAATTTGGCTCCTATAACCAAACATTTTCAAACCTGAATGGTCTTTTAATGTAACGAATAAAAGACACACCCAACTGTAGAAACAAAGCACTATGATCACTACCTGCCACCTTAAGATGAAAGAGACGTGCATTAGGAAATAAACTATTCCAGGTCTGTGAGCTAAGGGCTCTATCCAGCCTCTATCTGACCCATGCCACAGTATCTCTTCCACATTCCCAGGTGAATGGATTTCCCACAAAACTCATGTCAACAAGTTCACAATTATCATCCGCTTCGCTAAATCCCTGAATAAGTTAAGCTAGGTGATTGATCTGTCCTTCCTTCTCTGAATGACTAAGGAAATCGTTAAAGTCCACTGCCATAACCCGTGGAAGCGAAGACTTACATTTAAGCGACTCAAGTAACTGCTAAGACCTCCTTCTATGGTTATGATATGGAATTCCATAAAATCTTGTGAAACATAATGGTGCAATACCGACGATATCAATTTTCACGTTAATATGATTCTGGCTATAGCTAATTAATGAACAACTTTGTTTGTCCTTCCAAAGTAGTGCTAAACCTCCACTATGCCCTACTGGATTTGTTAGAGAGTAATGCAAAGTATCTCTGCACATTATCTATTTTTAGTTAGTGATATTAATTTTCTGTTTTAATAAGTCAATATTTGTTATTTGATTCCCTATTTTCTTGTTGATGTGAGATAATTTGTGTCCACGTAATTTGGAGTATTTTTATGAGAAAGGTATCTGATTCTTCGTCTCAAATTTTGTGCGACACCAGGCGGTTTCTTGCTGAAATTCCTCTTAGTTTTTCTATATTTTTTTTCAGCTAATCTGTCTAACCCTATTTTTCTAAAAATCTGGTATCAGAGCCGGGTTTACTCCGAGGATTTAATCTGTTTTACTATTAGGTCCAGGTATCCCTTCCGATGTGTATTTGTATTACAGTGGGAAATTAACTCTCACAACCTTCTGTCAATTTTCGAGGAATCTGCAACATATGATATTTGGAGTATAAAATGAAAACTCCTTTTCTCTCCAAGAGTTTATGGATTTTCGTAGAGAATGGGCTACAACGAGAGCATCTATAGAAAGTCTTAAAGAATTACTGAAAGAAAGATAATAAGCTCTTTTTCCTATCAACAAGCTGTAGATGATGCTATTTTCCGAGAATTTCTGCTGCAACAAAAGGAAAGAACATATATACTCCGGAATAACTACCAAGGTGTAGAGAAGGTAGTTACAGTAAAGCTGCAGACACTTCGTAGAAAGTTTGATTGCTTTGTTATGAAGGATGGTGAGTCCATGCATGAATACTTCAACAGAGTTATGGAAGTTGTAAACCAAATGTGAAAGTACGGGGAGGAGTTGTCAGATCAAAAGGTTGTGGAGAAGATTTTAAGGAGTTTGCCCAGAAAATATGAATCTGCCATTGCTACAATCGAAGAATCGAAGGATTTAAGTATCCTGTCTATTGATGAGTTGATGGGTTCTTTACAATCCCATGAAGACAGGCATTGTGGTTACGAAGAAGGTGACACAGAAAAACTTTTTCACACTAAATTGCAGCTATCTAAAGAAGCAGAGAATAATGGCAATAGCCATGAAGACAGGCATTGTGGTTACGAAGAAGGTGACACAGAAAAACTTTTTCACACTAAATTGCAGCTATCTAAAGAAGCAGAGAATAATGGCAATAGCCATAGCAGTCGTGGTGGACATTCTTCACGAGGAAGAAGAGGAGGCAGAGGTTATAGAGGGGGACGAGCCGGTGGCCAGAGTCAGAATCACAACACTGAAAGTAATAAAGGTGAAACTCGTTTCCGTAATTTTACATGTTATAATTGCGGGAAACAAGGTCACATAGCAAAGAATTGCCGGCTAAAAGAAAATCAGGCTAATCTAGTTGAGCAAGAAAATAATGATGAATGAGAGAGTTTATTTCTTGCTGCTTTTGCTACCAGAAAATGTGATTCTAATGTGTGGTATATGGATAGTGGTAGCAGTAAGCACGTGACTGCTAATCTGGAGGCTTTTGTTAGTGTGGATAAGTCCTTCAAATCCAACATTAAAACAGAAGATGGAACGGTTCGTCAAGTTCATGGTAAAGGGATCGTGAAGTTGAATGATTGTGAGATTAGAGATGTTCTATATGTGCCTGATTTGGATTCAAGCCTTTTGAGTGTTGGTCAATTTATGAGAAAAGGGTATTCACTCCTTTTTGAAGATTTCTCTTGCACTGTGTTTTTTCAGATAAAACAAAAAAGAATATTGTTTTTCGCGTTTCAATGAGCAAAATAATTTTCCACTTGATTTTGATGACCAACAAAAAGCATTAGCAGTGTCATTGGAAGATGATGATTGGTTGTGGCATCACAGGTATGGACATTTAAACTTTAACAGCTTGAGTTTAATATCTAAAAATAATTTGGTGGATGGATTACCTGTCATAAATTCTGTTGGTGACGTGTGTGAAAGTTGTGTGATTGGGAAACATCATGGAGACTCTTTTCCCAAGGGCAAAAGCAGGAGAGCTTCTGAAACAGCTGAACTTATACATGCCGATGTTTGCGGTCCGATGCGCACTTTGTCTCTTAATGGCAGCAGGTACTTTATTGTCTTTGTTGATGATTAGATTAATAGCCGAATGACTTGGGTTTTCTTTCTAAGAAAAATTCAGAGACGCTGTCTAACATTCAAGAAATTTTTAAAAGCTGATCGAAAAACAAAGCGGCAATGGCGTAATCTTGCGAAGCAGATCGTGAGGTGAATTTGTCTCTGTAAATTTGACAAATTCCTGTGAGATTTGGAATTTCAGAGGCAGCTTACAGCCCGTTATACTCCCAAACAGAATGGTGTGGCGGAGAGGAAAACAGAAGTTTGTGGGAGATGGCAAGAGTATGTTGAAGCCAAAAGTCTTCCCAAGGCTTTTGGGCAGAAAGCATTTCATACTGCTGCCTATATTTTGAACGAAGTTCTAATCAGCCCTATCATAATCAAAACTTTTGGGCTTGGAATGGATGGAAAAAAGGTAAAACACTTTAAAATTTTGGTTGTGTTGCTTATGTGTTGGGTGCCATCTCAAAGAGAGAAAACTTGATGAACAGTGTGAAATGCATAATTTGTGGGGTACAGTATGGAAACTACAGGAATCGCTTCATGATGCCTCTTTCAAAAAAATTGCTAATAAGTCGTGATGTTGTTTTTGATGAGAAAAGTGTATGGATTTGGAGTGAGGTGCAGCCAGGAGTAAATGTATTTCCAAATGATGAGGATTTTGTCCCTGAACAAATTCAAAATGAAGGCAACAATGGTGTTTCAGATTCTTCTTTCTCAAATACTCCTATTTCCAGTCCTTCTAGTTCAACATCATCGTCTTTAACAAGTACCCCTCCACGGAAATGGAGATCTCTACAAGAGATTTATGGACAACTTGATGAATGTCATCTTGTGGTCTATCAAGAACCAAGCAAGTTTGAAGAAGCAACAAAAATTGCAGAATGGCAAAATGCAATGGATGAGGAGATGAATGCATTAGAAAAAAACAAAACATGGGAGTTGGTTGACTTGCCATTTGGTAAAGAAGTAGTGGGGCTGAAATGGGTGTACAAGCTGAAATACAGGCCAAATGGGTCTATTCAGAGATACAAAGCTCGGTTAGTCGCACTTGGATACATGCAGCATGAAGGCATTGATTTTGAAGAAATGTTCTCTCCAGTAGCAAGGTTTGACATGATTCGAACTACTCTTGCTCTTGCTGTTTATTTTAACTGGAAAGTTTTTCAGTTTGATGTAAAATCAGCCTTTTTAAATGGTAATTTTTAGAAGAAGGTATGTGGCAGCAACTAAGGGCTTATGAAATTGTTGGTGAAGAAAGAAAGTGTCAAATTAAAGAAAGCTCTCTCGGCCTCACAGCAAGCACTGGAGGCCTGGTATGGGAGGATTGAGCAATATTTTGTAAAATGGGCTTCCAAAGAGTGCAAGCGAGCCGTTTGTATGTAAGAGAAAGCAGACAATGGAGGTGTTTGATCATTTGCCTTAATGTGGATGCTTAATCGAATACAGGAATAGCATTGAGTTTATTAATGAATCTTAAGAAGATTATTGGTGAATGAATTTGAGCTTGATGAGTTATTTTTTGGGATTGGAAGTGAGCCAGTGTAAGGCTGGAATTTTCATTTCACAACAAAAATATGTGAATGATCTCCTTTCTAAATATAATATGAAAGATTGCAATTCAGTCACAACTCCAATGATCACAAACCATAAATATTACTTGGATGATGGAGAAGAGAAAGTAGATTCTCAGTTATATTGGAGTTTGGTGGGAAGTCTGCTTTATTTAACGAAGAGTCGTCCGGATATTTTGCAAGCA